AACTAATGAGTCAACTGACTTGTGAATGATCATCAGACCTCTACCATGATAATGAACAATAAAATGATTTCATGCATCATCATTTGTTACTCATGTGGTCACTGTGTGCTTATTAGTGGGATATATATGAACCATCACACTGAAGTTAGTGTGACTACTGATCCTTCAAACACACACATTATCACACAGAGCTCGCAGAAAGCCGACATTAGTCCTGTCTGCCTGAAAAGATGATCAATACAACACAAACCATCTGCTCGCTCTCCAAACAGCCACCACGGTGGGAGGTGCTAGATGCATGTGAGGGAAGTCTGCCTCTCGGTTTGTGTTTGGTGCATTATTTTTGTGTCTCTGTGTGTGCTGGTGTGTGTGTGTGTGTGTGTGTGTGTGTGTGTGTGTGTGTGTGTGTGTGTGTGTGTGTGTTTGCTGCAGTGCCCCTGCTGAAGGGCGAACAGTAAGGCCCTGGTCAGCATGATGTAGGTCTCCAGGGATGTCCTGGGGTTTTTGGATCAATAATTTTCCTCCTGCATCTCCCAGCCTCACTGTCCTCACCCCTCCTCACCCCCTGGCTTGACTTTGGGCTATTTATGGTATCTCTATGGATTAACAAGACCCTAACAATCAATGGGCCAAACTTACTATCACTGTACTCTCCCTCCTCTTCTTGCTTTGTATATCTGCTTGTTTCAGCTCATTTTCTCTGGTAAACTTTTAGTCCTTGTAGTTTCTCTTGTTGTCCTGAAATATCCAAAAACTACAAGGTGTGTAACGTCACAAACACACTGTCCCACAAATAAAAACAAAAGCCAAGGGGATATCATTTCTAATGCAGGTGAAATCTGATATGGTCTTTGTTTATATGAGGATTCACAGAGAGATAATGACCTTTTGCTGGTGAAGTGTGTGTTACTTTTAGGTCTAAGTGGGGGTTTTTTTTTGCACCCATTTGGTAGCTTTTGTAGCTTGCTATGACGCCACTTTGAGTTTGCTGAGGAGGGGAGTGTCAGTAGAAATTATGTCGCCCACGGTGCAAATTGGTGTAAAAAAACATTTGTAGCAACGCCTGTCCAGACCACATCTTAGTTCAAGTGCTGGTGTAATTGTGCTATTTTTGTGGCTTTATATGGCAAATTCAGACCGACATCAACCTCTTCAGAGTCAAATAAACCTCTTTTATATATGTCAAGTTTGTCTGGTTTACTTTTCCACCAGTAACTCACTGAATGCAGCCTTTTTAGCAAACCTCTTATACAGTATACAAGGGGACACAGGCAAGTTTGTTGGGTCTGCACATTTCATTACTGTGTAAATAACTATTTTCCAGCTGCAGAGATGTGTCGCAAAAACTGTAGTGTCATTACATATTAAAGAATGACTAAAACTTATGTCTCTGGTTGCGATTGATGCCTGCCTCAACACCACTAAATGATAACTTGTTTGTCCTAATCAGTCCTCTTTTACAACTGCACCTGAACTAGCTCTGTGATGGTATACTAACTACCAAAACATCGGTTTTATATAATTACTAATTATGAAATGCTGCGTTAACACAGTGGCAAAATGACATAAAACTAATCAGCAACTATTGTCACAGTCAATTTATTGCCTTTAATCAATAGTGACAGTGCAGCAGGGACTAAGCCTTGGCGCCGACTCTACTGGCTAAGCCCAGTCGATTAATTGTTGATTCTTTTAGCAAAATACCAACATTTCAAGGTTCCAGTTTCTTTACAGTGAAGGATTGGATGCTTTTACTTGTCTTAAATTGTATTAAACAGAATATTTTGGGGCCTTACTGGACTATTGAACAACACAAGCCATTTGAAGTTGTCAGTTAGGTCTCTGGAAAATCTTGATGGTCATTTCTCTGTCTTTTCTGACATTTTACAGAATGAACAACGAGCAACTACCCTTTAGATCCATCTAACCAACACATTATATACCTCCGTTCAACTGCACACACTCAGTCTATATCTGATATCATGATTTGTAAACCATCTGTGGTCATTGTGGTTTGCTCCTCGCTGCAACAATAGCTCAGAGTCGAGCACAATGGCACCCTGACCCCCCATTTCCTTTAGTGGCAATCCTGATTAGCTAAGTGACAAGCTTCTCCCATGCCATTGTTAATGTATTAGTGTCTTGAATCCCTGTGGAGGGCAGTAACTCCACTCAGCTAATCATTTAGTGATGGTTATCATTCAGTTGTTCATTGTTAAGAGGCTGGGAGATACTTTAGATATGGAGTGGAGAGGGAGAGTCTGTCACAGCCACACACATATCACAAGTTTTAGCGTCGTAACGCATGAGAGTCAGAAAAAGGTGAAGATTGAAACAGGAGCAAAGTTTTTGAGTCGGGTTGAGGAAGCATTTATAGTTAACTAAAACTAAACTAAAAACTAAAACTAGGTGTGAAGAAACTATTTAAAGGAAATAAACCAAACTTCAGCTGAAACAATATTATGTAAAACTATCTTAAATTAAATTCAAATATACAGGAAATGTCTTAGTCAAGTTGGTCAAATTTGTGCAAACACGGTCAAACATGCGTGAGGAGGCGTTGGTGCATATGTTTATTGAGTCATCATGACTGTGAGCCAACGTGTTTGTATTGTAGTACCTAAACCAAAAAATAAACATTTTAAGCAATAAAATAGAGCAAACCCACTCTGGAAACTTAACTGAAACTAAACTGGTGGGAACAGGAGTGATAAATGTGTTATGGTGGGTGTATGCACTCCTGCACACACCACCATAAACACTAAAGCAGGATAACGCAGCTTGTTAACAAAAGTCATTTAACACATGAAATGGGAATCTTTCCACACACATTTTTGATGATTTTTTGTTTTGCCGAACCAAAAACTTAACAAAAAAGCCACTCCAGTAACTATGAAATCAGAAGAGCTAAACTAGGACCAACAGGTCCCTTTTTGTGCGTTCCTGTTCAAATTAAACCGATGACAGACTGAAAAATGATGCCGTTTAAAATTCAGTTTTCACACTCAAAGAAATCAGTCATCCTGTCGTCCTGTGTAGTAAGAGATGCTCTGTGGACTCACAGTTGTAATCAGCTGGTGGTCACAGAGAACTTTTCCTCTGTCCAGCTGATATGGGAATATAGATCCTGGCATAGCTTTGTCTGCTTCTCAGTGGGTGAGAGCTCAGAGGTCCACTATAGGAAATATGTAAAACAAACATATAGCATAAGTTATGCTGATTATGCTGGTAACAGAGTTTCATTGTTTCATCTCTGAGAACTGTACTGTCAGTTAATGGTTGTGGTGTATGAGTCACGCTGAAACCTTTGGCCCGATTGGTGGGAGCAAAGACGGATGTGAGGATGAGGGGGAGAGGCTGGAGGATGGCAGGGAGGGAGTGGAGGAATGGAGGGGACAGTGGTGGGAGTGTCACTTGCCAAAAGGCTTACACATGGCCTGATATCAGACCACTGTTAGACCACCGGGGGCGGGTGTGTGTGTGTGTGTGTGTGTGTGTGTGTGTGTGTGTGTGTGTGTGTGTGTGTGTGTGTGTGTGTGTGCGTGTGTGTGTGTGTGTGTGTGTGTGCGTGTGTGTCACAGAAAGACACCAAGAGTAGGATTGGGAGGGAGGGAGACAAAACTGTACTAAGCTCTCTGGGCACTATATGAATCACAAGTTTCTCTGTGAAACATGGTTCTTCACCCATTCTCTTCGACTTCAAGTTGATTATATATGTTGTTTTCCTCATTTCTTTGTGCATTTTGACTCTGATGAAGACACAGTAGTGTTGAAACTCTTCTCTGTTTGCACTACTAAAGGCTGTCTGAATTAATCAGTGTGCTCCAGCCCTCCTTTGTTCTCTACTTGTTTCTACGTATTTGAGTGTAGTATCGGGTGTGTAATTGAAGTGAGTCAGACTGCAATGGCTATATATTGTGGTATGTGATATTTGTGCTACTTCCTGGTATATTGTACCAGGATTGTACAGCTACTGCCCACTGTAGAAGTGCACATTGTATTTACTCAACCAAAGCTCTGCACTTGAGGTCTTAACAGGTCAAAAGAGTTTGTACTTGAACCTTTACTTAAGTACAAATAAATCCAAGCCTGAACAGCCTTGAACAACAAAAATAACAGGACATCCTTCTGAAAAAGACCAGATCCGATTAACTGGATAAGATTTTGTTTGGGTCCACTGGTTTTAATACCCGCATACTGAAGAAAAGTGGTCAGTCTTGGGTTCACTACTTGTTTCCAAAGCCACGGCCTACAAATTCTTCTTAAGCCCATGTGGACTTGTGGTTGGGATGACCTCTGATTTATGAGGAATATAATTTTTTTGACGTATATTTAATCATGGTAGTTTCACCGAGAGCCCTGTCCACACTCACACAGTTACACTCACATTCATACCTGGAAGCTACTGCAGAATACCACTGCCTGATTTGTTAAGCTCCACCGGATCATTTGGGGCTAAAAGGTCTCAAGCACCGTGGTAATGAGGGAGGAGCAAGTGCTGCTCACAAGACTGTCCTTTCGTCTTTGTTAACCTCTGATTCCTGGTTCACTTCATCTCCGTTCTATAAGGATGCTATTGATGATGAACTACATTCAAAGAGCTAAACAAAACAGACAATTTCTCAATGGCAAGTCTCTCTTATGTTGCAGCACAAGACCTGCAAGTATTATGTATAAATTATAAGTTGTGAACTTAACTCTGGAGAGATACCACACACGCACATGGACATCTAAGTCACTAGCAAAAACAAACCAGCCAACATGGCTGCCTTCCAGAGTGCAGCATTCATGAATTAACAAACTGGTTCCTGTTGGATCACTTAAAAACGTACTTTTGAGATAAGGAAAAAGGTGGAAAGATGACCTGAGATCTGATGCAAGTTGGGTCAAGAAATTTAGCTTTAAATAACAAACCTGTAATTTCCAGGTATGACGATGATGACGTAAATGATTCTACTGTTGATAGAGATTATAACAGATATTTTTCTCTTGACTTCCAGCTGTATTCTGGGGCGACATCGCTTTAGACGAGGAGGACCTGCGCATGTTCCAGATTGACAGGACGATAGACCTCACACAGCACACACACATGCACACACACTCCCGGCAGGGGCACACGTCTGGTAAGTGGATTCAACATTTCACTCTCACTCAGTAATCATCATGTAATGCTCTCTCCCATGTTTCCTCTGAAACTCTCTCCTCATCCAGCGGCTGCAGACTAAAGCAGCCTCAATGGGAAGGAAGTAGACGGGGGTCACCTGAGGATATCAGCATTTATTGTGCATTGTTCGTGTTTTGATTCTTGGCTCTTGTGTGTCGCAGGTGGCCTGGAAGAACATGAAATGGCTAAGAAGAGAGGATCTTTATATCTACTGCTGGAGAGAATACGTAGGTTTGGCTTTGGTAAGGATGCTAAGCTTTATTTCACACTCAAGACAATAATTCCTGTTACAAAAGACCATCCTAAAAAGGTATCCAAGATCTTGCAGCGTCCCATGGGTTTCCATTTATGTCCATACAGTATGAAAAACATCTTTTCTGCAAAGACTTGAAGTTTTGATTACACTTCTGAAACCCAGCTGACCTGCTGGCCACTGTAACCATGCAAACATTTCACTGTGATACATGACAATCTCGAGCAAGTTTCAAGTCTCTGCGAAATGATTTTCACGTCAAAGTGAAATTAATGGAAGTGAATAGTTACTGATGGATGAAGTGCCCTGATTGGAGCAGTACTGCACAGAAGGTTGTTTCTTTTTCTGCTTTTGAGCTGCAATTATTAAAGGTGGAAGACAGATAGATTTTTTAATTAAAAAAAGAATTGGAGACCAAACTAAAAAAGGATTTGCTGGGTGAAACATCAGCCTTCACATTTAGCTGCTAGATTACAGTATTTGCTTTGCAGCTTGTAGGTCTTTGCAGGAAGTCATTTTGGCTCATTATGACACTTGCAAATGGTAAGAAACAAACTCTAAGTACTTGCAAATCTACATTTGCCAGTAATAAACCCTCCCAGGCTCAATCTTTCCCTTCAAGAATCATGCATTGAGCAAAGCAGTATGCAGCAGAAGAGCCTTGTATGTCCACTATAATGTGAATACAGCTTAAATCATTCAGACCACTGGTTCTTTTTATGTTTCATTTAATCATTTTGACTGATTGTTTTGTGGTGAGAAAGTCAGACACCTGTTGACGGCTACAGGCTGAAATGTGTCAGTTTTTAAGTGTTTTGAGACCTTTGACAGTTCAAGACTGCTTTACTTCTTTATGCTCCTTACAAGTGGGGAAAGTTGTACGACAGCCTCTTCTCTACAGAAGCACCATCAGATCCAGAACTACATAATGTTTGAGTTATCTTTTTTTTTTTTACCACAACTAATTCAGTATACATTATAAACTTTAAATTAAATGTTTAATATGACAGTATATTGCAGAGCTATATCTGTCTGAGTTTTATTACCCTCTGATCTGAGAACAAACTCTGAAAGGTCACTTATAATAAGAAATAGAGTGATCCAATAAACTCAGAGCACATTTATGAACTGATATTCATAATAATAGACCAGTAATTTATTCTGTTTGAACACACATAACACAAACAAGAACCAGCAGTAAAGGTAGATTTGACTGTTGTTTCTGTCATTGCTCTGTTAGACTATCTCCCAAAGAACTCCAGCAAGGGAGCTGCCAGTCCCAAGAGCCAAACTGGGAAAGGTGGGAAGACTGGGAACGTTGTGAAAAGTCGTATTCCTCGAGCGGCCACATCCCGAGCTGAGAGGATATGGCCTGGAGGAGTTATTCCCTACGTAATAGGAGGAAACTTCACTGGTAAGCAACTCTACTGGACTGCTGCCTGCACCTCTCAACAGTCAAATACACACCGACGTGTGATTGTGTAAACGTAGGATGTGAAATGTGTGTGTTTCAGGTAGTCAGAGGGCCATGTTTAAGCAGGCCATGCGTCACTGGGAGAAACAGACGTGCGTAACTTTCATTGAGAAGACAGATGAGGAAAGCTACATCGTGTTTACCTACAGACCCTGCGGGTGAGTCTGGTGAATCTCTTTGCGTTTGTGTGATGGTGTGTGTGAGTGTGTGCGTGTGTACCTCGAGTTCAGTAGTGACCTTGTCACAGCGAGAGACGATACGGTCACTCAACAATGGCTCCACTTTCCTTCCTGTCCTGCTCCTGTTTCCCCATCCCACCAATCACACTGCGTAGTCTAAGTTTTTGTATGTTCGTGCAGTTTTTTTGTTCATACTCTGCAGAAGTGCATTGTTCTGTCGAGTGGCAGCACGGTGGGGTCATAGTGTGTTTGTACAGTGGTGGCACTTCACTGACTGGTTGTAAGTTGTAAGGTTTCAAATCAGGACGCTTGGGTTTATCTCTTCAGACTGTTGTTGTGCACATGATTGAAAGAGCAGGATATGTAGGATATTTGAGAAATTGCAGAATATATTACGGCTGAAAGTCTATTAGTTGATCAGCGGAAATGAACCAACAGAAATTTTGATTATCGATTAATTACAAACATCTGGTTTCAGCTAATCAAATATGGGGATTATGTTTTTTTTCCTCTTTTATATTACTGTGAAACCTTTGAGTTGTTTAGTTGTACAAAAGAACAAATCATCTCTGGAAACTTGTGAACTAATGCAAACACTATTTAGAACTTATGCAGACTGCTAATAGTCGCATTGAACTGAATCAGTTGTTGTTTCTACAATGCTTGACAACATCAAATATTCAGCATCTGTTTGTTGTCACGCTTACTGTATATTAAGTGAAATATTCAAATACAATAAGTCATATTTTATAGCTGCATCATTTTATTTGTCTTATTGCATACACTTTTGTGCAATACAGCCTGACCCGGTTGATATCTGGGCTGGGTATAAAACCTCACTACTGTTTTGATACTGAAATGTTTGAAATGTGTTCATAGCGTTGAATTGCCAAGAGCGTCGACTGTCTGGTCATATTTGTTTTGGTTCCTGATTTAAATCATAATTTAGCCCATTTTAGACTATGTTTTTTCAGATTAGGTTCTTGTGTTTAACATTTTAGGATATTGGTTTATTTTTTTAAACGGTGAATGCCATTAAGATGAGTGAAAGATCTGCGTGTTAACTGATGATGCCGGCCGTCTCCGTGGTCTGTGATAGGCTGGCTGCATCAGAGATTAGACACTTTAATCTGATGTATAAATACTCTGCAGCCTGGATGTGCAGCATGTGTGAGAGACAGTGACAGAAAAGCAGATAAATAAGTAATCGTTTTTATTAGAACCAGAATACATGTCTGGCACCTGTTGTGGGTGAAGTAGTTGTACTGATACTAGAGCTGCAAAAGCTTGAAGAAAAGACTCTATCTACTCCAGTGACTCCTGATCCTCACCCTCCAATCAGCTCACTGGATAACTTTAATCAGATTTGTTAGCCTGGCACGGATGTCTCGGCTAACCAGAAAAAGAGAATGAGTGTGTGTGTTTCTGTTCTGTGAGCAGCGATATGTGAATTCTCACAGCTTATTCGCGTTGGGGTTATGAAACTGCAGCGTTATCAGAGCGTTGTATGTAAATAAATCCTGCTGCTTTTCCTTTGGTGGACGTAGTACGGTGGCAGGAAATCCTGAAAAGACTGTGTGTTTGTGTGTGTGTGTGTGTGTGTGTGTGTGTGTGTGTGTGTGTGTTGTCATGCAGCACTGCTGAAGCCTTTTCCACTGCCAAATGTGTAGTAAAAATCATCCGCCTATCTCCCTGCTATCAACTTCCTACTAATCCTTATTAGGTGTTGTTCCTATGTGGGTCGTCGTGGCAACGGGCCCCAGGCTATCTCCATAGGCAAGAACTGTGACAAGTTCGGGATCGTGGTGCACGAACTGGGTCACGTCATTGGCTTCTGGCATGAGCACACGCGGCCTGACCGTGACGATCATGTGACCATCATCCGGGATAACATCCAACCAGGTGAGACTCAGTACCCAAGATGCACCTGGTGCTCATTCAAGGTTGTTTCTAGCTAGAGTGAAGTGAGGACATTTACGGACAATGTGTGTGTGCATTCAAATTCACACTCGTGTCCATACCTGTGTGAGTGTGAATGAGGCTTTTAATGACTGTGAAGTCACCGCAAGCCTCTTTTCCTCCCACACACTCCTCTGCACCACAAGACAATCTGACAGGTGTTAAATCAAATGACATAGCACATCAGACCTGACCCAAGTTTTTATTTAGAAACTCTCTAAAACACACGGCTCTATTGGGCTTCAAGTTTGTAAATAAATGTCCTTAAAATTCCTTAAATATAAACGTCCTTAAAATATATTTTTGTGTTTATTTACGGTAGTACACTAAAATTAAACCTTCTCATGCTGCTGTCCTTGCATGTGTGTGCATATGTGTGGTTCCCAGGCCAGGAGTATAACTTCCTCAAGATGGAGCCAGGGGAAGTCAACTCTCTTGGGGAGCCATATGATTTTGATAGCATCATGCACTATGCCAGGAACACCTTCTCACGGTAACCAGCGGGACAATCTCATCTCTTGACTTGTGTTGAATTTACAAAACAGATCAGAAAAAAACGAGCTGCCAAAACAGATGTTTCTCAACTTTAACATCTGCTCTGTAATTTTGTGAAACAGTGACCTTGATGGTTTTTGACTGTTTTCTCTGTGTCGATGCTGTTGTTTAGTGTTTATAGTGGGGTGGAGCTCATAGTTAGAGCTACCTCCGACCAACTTTCATCACCCAGGGCAAGTAAAGGCTGCAACATCTTAAAAACTAATATAGAAAGAATGTTCCTTTTCCTTTGCACAGTTAGAAACTACAAACTTTTTAACAACAACTGTATTCAGCATCATTATTGTTTAGCTGTGCATGACAATCAATCCACTTTTACAAAGTGATGTAAATGACAGCACATAATGAAACAGAGCAGGGATATTTGCCAGAGGAGGAACTAAAGGGGATGTAGTTTGTTATACTTCAGTTCACACATAAACCACAAAATGTAAGTATTTATACTGGAATACAGGAAATACTATAGAAGCTAAATATATGTCACAGTCAGGTTTATTAAGTTATAGCAGAGTTTTCCAAAACTTCTTGTGAAAGGGGTCACTCATAGTGATGAACCTACAGAGTATTATCACCTCAATATGTAGCTCCACGCAGCTTTATGGAGCTTTATAGTGAGTTTCAGCTCATTGTTTAGTCCGGCTGCAACTTCACTGTTCTGGTTCAGTCTCACTGAACACTTTTTGGCAACAGCAGACAGCTTTTATCAGCAAAAAAGCTTTACAAATTCACTGTACACACCTGCTCAGCACCAAACAGCCACATTTATCAAATATCTGGTGAACACTGGAGCATTTTGCAGCTAAAGAGACAGATATTTCCCTAGTGGAGACCAAAAACAGAGTGAATATTTGACTTTCATTCATATAGTGGCCAGAAAAAATTACTCCAAATGACTGATGATGTTGCTCCGCAACTACTGGTGTGTAAATAAGCAACTATTTGCCATGTCAAATCAAAAGGTGATCATATGTCATTGCTAAAATTATCCAGTAATTCACAGAGAAGGCAAAACATTAGCAGCGCAGTGAAACAAATGGAAACTTTTCAGCATCATGAAATCCCTTCTCATGTTTTAGACACCATCTGAAATCAGCCAGTTATTTTGCAGTGACAGCCGTCACAGGTTCACTTGCCATGAAAGGATAGAATTTAATCTCCGACCTACCTAATCTCATAACCCCTCCTATTCCCTAGTCAGCTCCAACCCACACATTAGAAGAAAATATTGGTGTGGCAATCAGTTAAATATTATTTATTTTACTGTTTTGAAGATACGTGTGTGAAATTTCCTTGAAATCATAGCATGATGTGTGTTAAATCTCTGTTTTCCTCCCTTAAGGGGAATGTTCCTCGACACCATCCTTCCATCCAGAGATGAAAACGGGGTCCGGCCTGCTATCGGCCAGCGGACCAGGCTCAGTAAAGGAGACATTGCACAGGCAAGGAAGCTGTATAGATGTCCAGGTACTGATATATTTACTATGAGACCACAGCGTGTATGGGTGTGTGTGTGTGTGTGTGTGTGTGTTGAAACAAAAAATGACCTCTGTGTATCTGCTCGTGTCTTTGGCGTTAAATTTTCACACCCGTCCACTCTCCAGGGCACGGGGATGAAGTTGAGTAATTTGTTTTTCCATGTGTTTCGCTGTTTTCGCGTCTCACACACATCACACACACACTCTTCCCATGAGTTCTTGCGCACACCCGTGCTGTTCTGGCGTCCCTTCGGTCCCTGTTGTATGGTACTGACGTGATCTGGATTTGGATCAAGCCGAGCTATGCAGTAATGTTGCAAAGGTTTACGATCGAAAGTGTTGCCATCCCTTTTTGGCCCCCACACACACACTCATGAGTTCACACTGTAGGTCATCATGTACGCATGATGTACTGTATCTGAGACAAACAGATTAAATAATATCTGTCACCAGTCTGTTCTACTTAAATTCACCAAAACCTCTGTTTCTCTGTGTTTTTGTGGGTGTATTTTTTCATTTTGACTGATTTTGTTTGGTTAAACTTCCATTGAACTGATATACACGTATGGCCTTTAGTTTATTTGTTAACATTAATAATGTCACATATATTACAGTATATAATCCACTAAATCCATTTTGATACTGGAAAGAGAACAAGACTGTGTTTGTGCGTCCCAGCTGGAAATAGATACAACTTCAACCTTATAAGGTCATATTTGAGTGATACCATATTCACTGACAGATGAACAGAGCCCCAGGGTATTGTGGGGGAGAACAGCATGCATGATGGGATAGGAGGGGCACATTTGGCTAACCTCCTTTTCAGAAGGAACGACAACGTTAAACTCTGAATGAAAAATAAAGCGCAATATTGTCTGATAATTTTCCACGAATTCCCATCCAGTCACTCTTGTTCACTTGCAATAAATTACTCCACTACTGGGGAATGTTTAATTCGGTTAAACAGTGACGAGGCTTAATGACTGTGGTCGGACCTCACATGTATACTGATACACAAAGGAATACAAACACGCATAGTGCCGCCTCCAACATGCAAAATGAAAACAAGCCAAAGCCAACATGAAACACAAGTTTTGTTTGAGAGCCTAATTTTAATTCCTTTACTGGTTTCTGAATCAGAAATAACAGTTTCCATATGGACAGATCAGATATTATAGACATAAACTTTGTGTATGAGGCTGTTGTGTTGACAAAATAGTCTGTAGTATATTTATTTTGGTAAATTGGCAGTAAAAGGTTGAGAATAATAAGAGATATGAGAGCCATGTGTTCTTTAGTAATGTACCGATCATAAGTATCAGTATGCAGCTGAAAGTATTATGCACAACAGCAGGACTCGCCACAAAAATGTAACTCCCTCTCTCTCTCTGTGTGTGTGTGTGTGTGTGTGTGTGTGTGTGTGTGTTGCAGCATGCGGAGAGACGCTCCAAGAGTCAACAGGCAACTTCTCGTCTCCTGGTTACCCCAACGGATACCCTTCATACACACACTGTGTCTGGAGAATATCTGTTACACCCGGAGAAAAGGTGCACACACACACACACACACACACACACACACACACACACACACACACACACACACACACAGTAGCACCCTGCAGTGCAGTGAATGTGCATATAATAACAGGAGACTGCTGACAGACTGACTGTATATTGATTATATCCTAACACTACAGATCCCACCCTCTTCCTCTTTTCTTCCTCTCATCGTCTGGTCATCTGAAGTACAAACATCTGTATTAAGTATATTAAATATTTACTTTTGCTCCTCCAGATCGTTCTTAACTTCACCACCATGGATCTTTATAAAAGCAGTCTGTGTTGGTATGACTACATTGAGGTTCGGGATGGATACTGGAGGAAAGCTCCACTGCTCGGTAAGATGAAGGCACAGTCAGCCGGGGGTGAGCTGGTTTCCCTTTAACAAAATGGCATGACCTTTGTGCCTTTTCATATTTTCTTGTTCCCTTATTAGCTTTTTTTAATTCTACTGAAAATCAACGCACTGCAACTTAAAGGTGGGGTCAGTCATTCTGGAGAAACATAGTTCACCATTAAGTCTCAGTCCCAGGTTGTCAAATACCTACACTTTGAGTTATGGTTAATGGAAAAAGAAACAAAGTGTCTCGAAGTGAGTCACACAACACAACAGGTAGTGTTTTTGTGCTCCCAGGTTGTCAAATACAGACGCTTTGGGTTGCCAAAACATCTCTATTTAATGACCTAGGAATGAAACTCAACAATCAACTATTTTCCTCCTTAATGACTGATCCCACCTTTAAGAAAACAAGCAAATTACGAAAACATGTTAATTTCATTTTAACACAACCAAATACAAAACACTGTCTGTTTGTTTTATTAAAACATTGCAGTGTGTTGAGCTCTCTGGGCCACTGTAATAAGGTTCATGTTCAAACTGACAAAAGCACTGCATCAATCATACATCAAATAAAATGTATGTGAACGAACGTGGCTTGAAATAATTAATTTTGATGCAGGGCCATATGGTTTTAGTGTTTTTCACATTTTATAGGTTATATTTCATCATCAATCCCTGGACAACAGAAGCTATGGTTCTTACAGTGTTTGTTTTTATGTGTGTTTTTAACAGGCAGGTTTTGTGGAGATAAAGTTCCCGATGTCTTGATCTCCACTGACAGCAGGATGTGGATTGAGTTCCGCAGCAGCAGCAACTGGGTGGGAAAAGGCTTCGCTGCCATTTATGAAGGTAACTTCTGTCTTCTTACATACAAACAATCAAAGAGATAAACACACTGGAACTTAAATAATTCGTACACACACACACATTTCAGGTGTTGTTGGTGCAGTTGATGCCAATCTGTCCTGTCTCTCTGTCTGTCTGTCTGTCTGTCTGTCTGTCTCGCTCTCCTGTGCAGCGATCTGTGGAGGGGAAATTACCAAGGACTCAGGACAGATTCAGTCTCCCAACTATCCTGATGACTACAGACCCTCCAAAGAGTGTGTGTGGAGGATCACTGTGTCCGAGGGATACAACGTCGGGCTCAGCTTCCAGGCCTTCGAGGTGACTCACTCCTTATGTGTTTGTGTGTTTCTCTGCCCCCCCCCGTGCTTAGGAATGTCTGGGTCAAATTTCACGCTCTTATAGCTGCTAGGAAGTTAATAACGTTGAGTGTGTGTGTAAGTGTACAAAGACACGGAGCAGCTGAGGATTAGTTTCGTAGCTTGAACGCCGTAAAAATGTCAGTGGGCTAATTGACACAATCTGTCTCCCACCTGACTTTACACATGTAAGGTCAAAGGTCAGAGTTCACCTTCACACAGGAGCTAAGATCAACCTCTTTTAAAATCCAATTTTCAGTTCTATTTTGTTTCCGTTATATTCTGTTCTGTTCTGTTCTATTCTATTCTATTCTGTTCTGTTCTGTTCTATTCTGTTCTGTTCTATTCTGTTCTGTTATATTCTGTTCTGTTCTGTTATATTCTATTCTATTCTAGTCTGTTCTGTTCTATTCTGTTCTGTTCTATTCTGTTCTATTCTGTTCTGTTCTGTTATATTCTGTTCTGTTCTGGACTCTAAAAGTAACATTAAAAAATTTAATGGTGGTGACAAAAACTAAATGTTTTTATGGAGGAAAATTTCTGATGTGACACTAAGTAATAGATGATTTTCTCTTTAAAACCCTTATGGTAGAATCTGTTAATCTGTTAATCTGTAGCTGATCTGTCAGTGTTGGTTTGAGCTGCTGCAGGTCCACTGATGCTGTTAAAGGATAGAGGGGATTTTTTACTTCAACCTGGTTATTATTTCTGCAGTTTTGGAAATTAGATTTTTGGTGATGGTTTTATTTTATTTATGTTCAATGGAGTCCATCAGAGCAACGCGAGCAGTCAAACTATCAGACAAAGGAAGACATGTTGTAAACGTGTTACTGTCACAAAGATATTTGAAGGTCGACAGGATGGTTGTGGTGTATCTCACCGCGTACATGAATGTTTCTGCAGATCGAGAGGCACGACAGCTGCGCTTACGACTACCTGGAGGTCCGAGACGGCCCTCTGGAGACAAGCCCTCTGATTGGACGATTCTGCGGCTACGATAAACCTGAGGATGTGCGCTCCACCTCACACACACTGTGGATGAAGTTTGTCTCAGATGGGACGGTTAACAAGGCCGGCTTTGCTGCTAACTTTTTCAAAGGTGTGTGTGTGTTATTAAGGGAGGCTCTGTCTGTCTGTCTGTGTGTGTGTGTGTGTGTGTGTGTGTGTGTGTGTGTGTGTGTGTGTGTGTGTGTGTGTGTGTCAGGTGATTGTGTTTTCTCACATGGCTTTTAACCAAAGCATTCTTTATGTGTGTGCAAACATGCTCTGACGTGTGTGTTTTTCAGAGGAGGATGAGTGTGCCAAGCCAGACAATGGTGGATGTGAACAGAGGTGTGTAAACACTCTTGGCAGCTTCAAGTGTGCCTGTGACCCGGGCTACGAACTAGCTCCTGACAAGAAGAGCTGTGAAGGTAACTGTGTGTTCGTGTGTGTATGTGTGTGTGACTGCAATGATGAATTCATGTTTGTATGTGCATTCCTTTGTATGCCACTGTGTGTTTCTGTAGGATATGAGTCTAACTCATCAGAAAAAAAAACATCCGAACAGCCTCCATCAACAGGAAAAAACATCTCTTTGACACAAAACCACATACCCCGCTGTTCCAGTGCCACAAGTGCTGTGAAGGTCCTTTAATCCCGCGAAGTAAATTAGCTAACCATTATGACCCACATACTGAAACAACTGAACAAACCACTTCAGAGAGGCATAGAGAGAAAATTGCTACGCTAGAGGAATATCCAAAAACGTGGTTTTGCTGTATATCATCGAAGAGCAGCTCTTTTTATTTTGCATCCCCAGTGAGTTGATGTGTGGGAAAAGGATGCAGAAAGTGGATTTTCAAAGTCTACGTCATTATATACAATTACAGTGATCATTTTAGTAAGAAATTTCACTGTGCTCACCACATAAAGGAGACATTGTTGGGGAAATGCTCAGTTGATAAGGAAGTATAGTGAGTAATTAAGTTGTTATTTGAAGAAAACATGTGGCGAACTCTACAGGTGTCTTGCGAGTGACTTGCAATCGGTCACGTTAGCTACTTCCCCTCGAAATGAACAAACATCAGTAGTAATGACTTCCCGCACACATTTCACTTTTCCTTTGAGCTGAATCTGGTTCCTCCATGACAAATATTCCCATCGGCATCATCAGCGTAAGCCGTCTGCTGCTGCTGACGGACCTATTTGTCCTCCACATTCCATCCTTAACTGCATCATATCCAAGTTATAACCCTCCTGATTAAAGTAAATGCCTGTATACAGCTGTGTTGATCAGAAATGTGGCAGTAAAATAGCCTCATTGCACAGAACCAGCCACTCAAACACAGCAGCTCTGTTTCTTTACATGTTGGGAAAATTGGATATTTGACGAGTTGCAGTTGGTGCAGCCTGGAACGAATTCACAACTTTAGGAAGCATTTGAAACATAAATTGTAGGTTTACCACCACCTGCTTATGTGCAATGTGGTTTGGCAAGGTCCAACTTTTTGTGTTGTTATATATCTTATAAAACATATATATCACTTCCTAGGCATGTGTGTATGTGTCTGTTTGTGTGTTCCCAGCGGCGTGTGGGGGTCTCCTCTCTAAGCTGAACGGGACCATCAGCACTCCTGGTTGGCCTAAAGAGTATCCACCCAACAAGAACTGTGTGTGGCAGGTGGTCGCTCCCACTCAGTACCGCATCTCTATGCAGTTTGAGGCCTTCGAGCTGGAGGGGAATGAGGTGAGTGTGTCTGTGTGTTTAATAGCCACCTTGAAGACGGATGTTACAAGAGCCTTGTTCGTGTGTTTAGGTGTGTAAATACGACTATGTGGAGGTGCGGAGCGGCCTCTCGTCCGACTCTAAGCTGCATGGTAAATACTGTGGCACAGAGGTCCCTGAAGTCATCACCTCTCAATACAACAACATGAGGATTGAGTTCAAGTCCGACAATACCGTCTCCAAGAAAGGCTTCAAGGCTCACTTCTTCTCAGGTAAGACACGTGTGTTACATCTGTGTGTGTGTGTGTGTGTGTGTGTGTGTGTGTGTGTGTATGTGTGTGTGTGTTTGTTTGTCAGGGGTGGGCAGAGCATTTTATTTGAAACAAACTGATGAACAACAAGGTTAATTATGGTGCAGGAGCAGTTCGAAAAGCTTCTAGTGTGGGTATTTCGATACTTAAATTTCAGCATAACAACTGGCTCACAGCTGGACTAACTGACACAAATCTAAGCTGCTCTAAACCGTGATATACATTTTTGTAATAGGTAACCCGGTGGTTTGCCGTTGTCTAGCGTTCGCCCACAGAATGTCTTCACTGGGCTACGAAAAAAGAATCGGTCTGCAGAGCTAAAGTTTTTTACCTGCAGGCTATTTAAATAACAACACTTATATTATTTAACATGACAGCTGACCTCCAAAAAGTGCTTTTGAAATTGAATTGCCAACATTTTGTGCATTTTGTTTAATTAATTAAACCTACAATAGCCATCCATAGCAACTACAATGTGGTGTATGTATGTATTCATGTAATGATTCAAATATATTAAGACATGTAAAACGCTTAGATAAGGTTAGAGAAAGATCATTGTCATGGTTAAATATCTAAAAAAGTTTGAAGTGGAAGATGAAATGCAAACCAGGTTCTCCACTCCTGATTTTTAGTCTTCTGCTCACCTCCGCTGTGTGTTAATTTGTGTGTATGTTCGCTTGCATGGTCAAGCATTTGTGGAAATATCCATATATGTGTGTGTGTGTGTGTGTGTGTGTGTGTGTGTGTGTGTGTGTGTGTGTGTGTGCATACCCCTCTGTTTTATACTGCCTGTGTATATGTGTTGTGTTCGTCTGTCATGCTGTGTCTCCTGAGCCTCCACCGGCTCTCCGGCCTCCTGCACCCACCCTGCGCTCTGCCCTCTCTCCCTCAGACAGGCTGGCTCTGTGTCAAGAGCGTATGATTGTGTTTGAGTCATGCCAGGACATAAAGCGCGGCCGCTCTGCCTCTCGTGGCCATGTCAACAACAAGCTGGCAACCTCATCAAAGGTCAGAGGTAACATGACCTAACAATCGGCATCTCTGATTGGCTCCGGTCGACAGTGTAATGAGGGAATGGATCGATCATGTTTTAATGGCGTGGATCACTGTTTAATCCATTATCCTCCAGAGGGAAACATGTGCTTTGTCCCAGTTCCATGTTATACCATACAAGGATGGGTGATAATACCGTAATAATATAATATCAATTTTCAGCAGGAAAGTCATATTGTTGGACAAATTTCTGTTGTTCAAGTTAATTATTTCATGCAAGCTGCAGTTAAACAATAAAATAAAACACTATTATTGGATTGTATTAATTTGTTTTCAACATATGAAGAGTTTGGTCTCATATTAACAGTGGAACTCAGTTCATTGCTTTTAAAATCTGTTGTTGTATTTGAAAACCTCCCTATTATTATTTGCAGAAAGTACACAAGAAATTAATCTTTGTAGTAAAAGGAAATATTTAGTGATGTGCACTATTGGAAGTCAATCAAACTGAAACTTTGGGAAACCACAGCCAGTTTCAAATTTGGAAATTTTTTTGGTGTTTAATATGTTCCAGAAAAGCCACAACTACCCACTATTTGTTTGACAAAATTAAATTAAATTGAATTAAATTAAATTAAATTAGCATGTTGTATGGAACTGGGACACCGCTATGATTCTCCAGTAAAAACACAACAAATATCCCCTACTCGCCGTTGCAGGGTTGAATTTGTTGGATTTCAACATTAGACAATAACCATTTTCAGGAAGTTGTCCTGAAGACAAGATCCAAATTTCTCTTTTCCTACTCTAACTTTTACAGTAACTAAAAAGGGAAAACTGATCCAAAAGGCAACTTCAGTGTAACATTTTGGCTGCTTCCTTCTCCTTCAGAGGAAGTAAAACTGTCACCTGGATGAGCTCGTCAAAATTTAACTACCTGCAGAACACCTGGAAGACGTAGTTAAATCGCAGCGTGGTTTATAATATCACTGACTCAGATATAGATAATGTGTGTGTGTGCGTGTGTGTGTGTGTGTTTTTAAAGTTGCTGTATGAGTGGCTCTTCTATTGTCAGAAGCTTCCAGGGATAGCTTTTGGTTGGCAAAGATCCAGCAGCTTTAGGGAGGTCCCTTTGGCCTCCCACACACTACTAATCCGTGTGAGTGTGCACGTGTATGCATGTGTATGCGTGCATGAGTGTGTGCATGTGGACATTGTGTGCTTGACCTGAAGAAAGCTACAATGAACACTGTGTAGCATCAACTGCAAAGCTTCTTAGCCTGTGATAGGGTGAGACTGAGCCCACAATAGCACCATAATACCACATCAGACAGACAAACACACACACACACACACACACACACACTCACACACACACACACACACACACACACACACACACACACACACACAGAGCAAGAGAGAAGGGAGATTTAGTGGTTTCATTAAAAGCAGATCTAGTTTGATTCACGAGCTCTTGAGTTGAGGTGAGACGCAAGCTTCTGTGTCTAATCTCACATCTCTTTATAGGAATCTGTCTCTCACTCACAGTCACAAACACACTCTTCTCTGTCTCCCACACTCTCCCTGTACATGCTCTGTCTTCCTGTGCGGTCATCAGAAAATCCCCACCTCTCTGTTTCTGTCTCTGACACCATCACTGTTGTCAACGTGGCAGTCCCACACAGAGCGAGTCTTCCCCGCTGCTTCCAACCTCTACCCCGTGAGCTGCTCTGTTCCTCCAGTGTTCAGCTTCACTAAAAGGCCCTTTGTCATCACCCAGCCATACTGAGGAGAAGCCATGTGGTTAGAAGAAGCTCCAAATTAAAGGATGAGGGCGAGAGAATGAGCGAGAAAACAACTTAGCTGTGATGTTGTGAGTTTTCGTTTTAAGCCTACAGAAATTTGAACCTTTTAACCTCCTAACAAGCAGCAGCCTGCCAGTGGGTCAGTCATTATAAACTCAAGCTGTGTGGCCAAATGTTGCTCAAGTAGTACACAGAACTATATTTCAAGTTCTTGTGGAGGTCCCTAATTTTCCAAAGAAAACAAATATGTCAAGTCGAATTTTAGAGGAAATGTGTATAAAACATTTGACAAGACATCTGGAAGTCTAGGTTGGGAATATTTAACTCACTGCAATCATCAAATAACTTCATGAAGACAGTATATATGATACTGGTAGCTCGCCCGGTTGAGCTAGGGCCGAAGTCCTTGCTGTGGAGGTCCGGGTTCGATTCCAGCCTGCGGCTTCTTGCTGCACGGGAGGATGTGCTTACTTGTCGAGTGTTAGATGAGAAGATGAATAACCGTCTAATGTCTCTTCGTAAATACGAAGCTCCAGCCAGCAGTTGGCTTGCTTAGCTTAGCACAAAGAGTGTCCAAAGGTTGCAAAATACGCACACAAGCACATCTAAAGCTCACCAATTAACACACATATCTTGTTTGTTTACTCCACACAAAAGTTTATACATGCTGGGAAATCCTAAAATAGTTCAACTGCCTTAATGAGGTCATTATTTGAGCCAAAAGATATTAATTAACCCCAAAGAAAAAATCCAGAATAAGCAACAAAACAAGGCATTATTATACTTCCATTCTCTTTTCTGTTTGTATGGAAATTTATGGAGCAAAAATCTCTTCAAATTATTTATGGGGGGAATTTGTGGTCCACATTTAGGCGTCACCATGACAACCTAATGGCCCACATATCCTACCATGTACCGGGTGGACATAAAAATCCCAGAGAAGTAGGTCTCCAGTATCTTTCCAAATTCATGACATGAGGCTTACGAGATCTAAACGTGATGACAGACACTCTCATCACGTTTTACAGTTTCTCCTCAGTTGGCTGGGTGAACACATCAGACTGATATAGCAGTGGCTTCTGGCTCCAAGGGGAGCACAGCTGATGTGAAAACAGCTGCTACGGTCACAGTCGTTTCAGAGCCAAGGCCAGAGGTTGACCGCAGAGCGATCATAACCATGAACCCAAAGAGTAGCACAAAGACAGTTTTACAGGCCAACAGAACCACACAGACTTACACACACTAACTGACTTAACCCTCTGTAGTTGTCTGTTGTTGTTCTTAATGCTAACTCTTGTTAATGGTTTCTTCATTCCTTCCTGTTCACTAACTCTTCTTGGAAATCTTTAGATGGTAGTTTTGCAAAAAAAAAATCTACTTCATTCACTCTTTGCTAAGACCCACCCCTTAGTTACTGTTACTACGCCTCTCAAGCTTTCTGTTGCAGCATTATATTGCAAACAACAGATTTATTTATGCTTTATTGTTTGTTATAGTTTGGCACAAGTAACTCTAATGATCCAAAAAGTGCAAGAAAGAGGCGCTAACACTGATATGCAGTCGTACCGAGGACAGAGGATGTGTCCCCACAAAATACTGTATTTAGGTAATGGAATAGAAGTAACACTCGTTTACTTTTGTATGCAGTAAGATAGTTAGCCAGGCATGCTAATGTTTGCAGCTTACGAGCAGAGCGTACTCATTCATACAGTTTTGCATTATGTTTTTGGTTTAGTAAATTCTATAATCCAAAGCTTGAGGCCAGAAACAGTTGACCATCTCACGTAACGTTAACTCTCAGCCGTGTAATAAATACTTTAACATGACAATAATGAACACTATCTTACAGTTGTTCTGGGTGACCATGTTTGCCTAGCATGATTGCTGGATATGTATGTTCGTGTTTCTCTTTATTTGCCATCTGTCACCTTCTCTGTACCTTTTCTTTTGTTGAACTTGCCTTCTGAGTTTGATTTCCGTCCTTTCCTTTTATCACTGTTTCTCCTGTTGTCTGTCCCTCACCCCTTTTCATATCACCTCCCTTTTATTTTTCAAAAAGTCTCCTCCCCTTCCTTAAGGTCTAATTCTTCCACTCCTATCCCCTGCTTGACCTCTTGCTTCCCTCCACCTCCGTCCTTTTTGCTGTTTCCACATGAGTGATGTGTTGCATGTGTATCTCTCACAGACAAAGATGAGTGCAGCAAGGACAACGGCGGCTGCCAGCACGAGTGCATCAACACAGTGGGCTCTTACGTTTGTCAGTGTCGCCATGGCTTTGTACTGCATGAGAACAAACATGACTGTAAGGAAGGTGGGTTTCACGTACATTCACATCAGCACACACACTGGCATAAAAACATTGGACCGCACATGCACGTCCTGCCACATTCACACAAGCATGTGCTCATTCACAAGAACAACCATCGTCCATCATACAGCCCTTACTCAGTGTATCCACATCAGAGTCCACCTGACAGCAGACTGGCCCTTTCCATTTGAGGATATTTCTTTATTTTATATATTATATTTCCACACTTGAAGGCTGCAAGCAGAGCTGTAGACCTGAGACTTGGGACATGGGCACGTGTCACATTAAGTTACAAAGGTGAAGACTTGAGGGCTGTGAGACTTCAAGTCTCAAGCTTTGATCTTTGATCCTGGAACAACAGAAAAACAGTGGAAGAAACATTTTCAAACAGGCAATAATTTTTCTGTTTCCATTAATTAATCCTGTGCATTAAAATCACTTGCTGTCAGATATTAACATGTCTTAGAAGATAATTGCTTTGTCATTGTAATGCTCAGCATATCTGATGCCTAAACATTGTTTAGATTTGACTTGAAATTTGCTTATGATGACTTGTGCTTGCTCTAAAGGACTAGAGACTTAAAGGACTTGCGATTTACTTTGAAAGACTCGACTGGGACTTGTCTGAAATGAATCAAGACTCAAATTGGACTTGCTAGTCATCATAGCTCTGCTCACTGACACTCGACTTGCACTAAAGGTCTTGAGTCTTATTCCAAAAGACTTGAGATTTACTCTTAAATACTTGACACTTGACCTAGACTTGCCTCAAATAACTTGAGAGTTACACTGGACTGGTCCCAGACTTGAAGACAGGTTTCGAGTCACCACAGCTCTGCTCACTGAGACTAGACTTGCACTTAAATGACTTGCTTGAAAGGTGCAGAAATGCAGCACAAACAGACAAGTTCAAGATAATTACTGCAGAAATACCCTATAAAGTTGTTAAGTTAGAAATCATATACAAACTTATAATACAGCATTTGTTTTTGTATCAAGGTACTGGTATTGTGTTCCAGGGGTTGGGACTCGAACTTGTCTCAAATGACTTCAAAACAGCTCCGCTTGCAAGTCACTAAGGGTGTGTTCACTGTGATGTGTGCTTGTGTTTGTATGTGAGAAACAGAGACGGGAAAAGGTTTCAGTTTGACAGAAAACAGTATTTATAAGTTGTTAGCACATTCCCATGTGCGCGCACACACACAGACAGACACACACACACACACACACACACACACACAGACACACAACTGTTGAATTGACATATTATACTCGACTCTTTGAAGTTGAACTTTTGAACGTTTGCACACACACCACATCAATACACACATACACACCTCACTAAAGGCTCCCTGTGCTGCTCATAAAAACTCTCATGTTTCAAACATCTGGGAGCTTGAAAGCTTCACATGTAGCGCGGTCTTCCTGTGTATGTGTGTGTTTGTGTGTGTATGTGTGTGTTTATGTGTGCATTAGACCAGCTTGACCCAGTAACCTTGCCGAGTCATGTAAATCCATATTCCCATCACACAGCTTGTGTCCGTGTGTGGTTATGATAACACACAAAGTATATGCGTGTGAAAGTTTCAACATGTGGAGATGGACATTTGGATAGCGTGACACGTGTTGTTAACATGTTGGATTCATATAAACAACAACTTTTAGTGATAGCAGTCACCTGCCAGAAGTGTGTGAGACTAAAGACATAAAAACTTGTGGTCTCAGGGATCCTGTTTAATCTTTTTCATGAAAGGAAGACATCTGTTAAACCTGAAACTGTCATTAACTTACTTACTGGTAATATTATGATACTGTGGCATTGTAAACTATTACATTTCCTGTTATCTACAATAACTTGATAAATGTGAAAAGATGTTTTTGCTGCCATGTCTTAAATCTGTATGATGTAAGTAGTTAGACTTTTTAACTACACGAGGTGTGAGGGTCTTCTATAACAATAGTGTAGTGTGTGTGTGTATGTGTGTGTGTGTGTGTGTGTGTGTGTGTGTGTGTGTGTGTGGAATATTACTTCTGTAATTAATACTTTGCCTGTTAGAAAACTCCCCTTTACATTTATATACATGGTTCTTGTAAAGTCATCCATCTCATTGTGTACATGGGTTCAGTTTGTCTGACTCTAAATAAAAAGTGTCACTCTGGAACACACCTTGTTGTCTTGTGCATGCCTCCTGCCTCTCATCACCTTCATTAAGCCACGGCATTCATCTAACTCAAACCATACACATACATGCGAATGCAATGTGTGGCTGTGAGGGCTGCTGTGGGTAGATTTTGGTGCAGTTTTTAAGCGATTTAAAACTCTTCAGGAGGAAAGCAGTCGGCAAGAGTCCCAACTTCAACCAGAAAGAGTTGCTACAGTGTTAGTCCTCAGCTGATGTGTTGTCACGAAGTAGAGTATTAGAGTTATAGTTAGTTGCCCATCAGTGCCACTGAAACTAAGCTAATGAGTTGTATTTCAAAGTGTAAATATTTTTAGTGGATTGTCTTGAGTATGATGTTGGTAATGCTCAGCTGTGAGGAATCTGGGAGTATCTAACAAAACAATAACAGAGCAATTGGCTACAGATGAAAAACAGCCTTTTGGCCTATTTATTAATGTGCATCATCCCTGTTTGTGTCAGCCATCAGCATTCAGTTGGTTGAGATCTGGTGACTGAAAGCATATGATTCACATCCTTTTCATACTATCAGATTATTCAGTGAGTCCATGTACGATGGACAGATTGCTAGAACAGCATTTAGAAATGTTTAGGATGCAGTCCTACATAACATGTGTTTATGAGCCATTCACTAAACATCCAATCACAGAGTGCCTATATTGAACAAAGCAGTGTTTGCAATGTGTACTGTGTTTAGTAGGAATGGTTAAAGACTGTAACTATAAGCACCATAAATCATCTTGTCTCTACTTTTGGTCCATATGATGAATATTATACAGATCACATTCAAGGTTCAGATAACATCCAGAATAATTTAAACCTTTTGGATTGTTTTGTCTTTTGGTTCTTTGTGTGCTATACTCCATCAATGCATACAGTACAGGAGGTTTACCTTAGCAGTGTTTGTTTAAAGCATGCGTGCATGTGAAACTCACACTGAACTTGTCATCAGGATGTGTTTCTTTGAAATCCTTTCTCTCTCTTTTGGTTCTCTTGTTTCTCTCCTTCCTGTTCCCTTTCCATTTCCTCTGACCTTTTCCTGTGCAGCCATGATTTTAACTTCCTCTCTATGTGTGTGCTTGCGTGTGTGTGTCCAGCTGAGTGTGAGCATAAGATCCACAGCCCCAGTGGGACCCTAAGCAGCCCTAACTGGCCAGACAAGTATCCCAGCCGTAAGGAGTGCACCTGGGACATCACAGCCACGCCAGGACACCGAGTCAAAATAGTAAGTGTGCTGAAATCAAACACATTCTGGGGCTTGTGAAGCATTTGTCTTAGGCTTTTTAAACCCTTTAGCATGATTGGCCTTCTTCCCTTCCTCATAACAACACATTACTCTGTCTGCGGGGTCATATCGTATGTAAAAGCCCCAGGCTGCCCTCCCCCTTCTTGCTCGATGATCTCTATTTCCCATGTTCCACTTTCGAAACCCAAATGTAAATGGAGGAGAAAGTACACGTTTGTATATTCGGGCTAAATTCAAACGTGTGCTCATGCATTAGAAAGAGGCCTTGGGCAGTGGCCATCTGTGTCCTCCTGTCTTTCTGTGTGTGTGTGTATATACGCCTGTGTTTAGCCTGCATGTGTGCACACATGCGTGCATTTGTGCATGTAAGCATTTATGTGTCACTACAGATAGTCGAATGCACATTTTTGAGTTAGTGAAGATGTACGTATTAAGGAATATAGGCTGTGGAAAGGAGGCTGAAAAGTTCTAAGTTTGATTTGCATAGTTATTTGTCCAAAGAGAGTCAGAAAGGGAGAATGGAGAGGAGATAATCTCAACTTCTGTGTAAGTACATTAGCTCAAACAGATGGTGTTCGGCTAACAGTGTTGCTGCAAAAGGAGTTTCTCCTGACTCAGGTGCATTCACAGAAAATGCTTAGTGACGTTTGCAAGCTCAAGTAGCAGAGGTGAGAGCACGGTCTAGACACACACACACACACACACACACACACACACACACACACACACACACACACACACACACACACACTTACAGTCACACAGCTTGCTTCAGGTAATCCTCCTCCACTCATGCTTCTAAATAGTATCACACACACAAACACAGTGCAGCCTTTACAATATGCACACACATTCCTGGCCTAGACACACAGACTCAAATGTCAAATGCTCTCATATAAACACACACACACACACACACACACACACACACACACACACACACACACACACACACACACTACAGTATGTTGTCCTGCAAAGTAATGGGATTTGGCGCCTCACCTCACTTCCACTCTGCAACCACATGCTGAGATTGCTGCATGTTATCAAAACTGTCATCAACTGTCATTAAGTTTTGATAATCTCGCATCACCACTTACATAACCGAAAACACAAATTACATCATCAGCTAACACATTTAATAGTTTTTGCACCAGTTTTGAATATGTGGTAAATTTGTTTGTGTGTGTGGGTATTTGTGTGTGTGTGTGTGTGTGTGTGTGTGTGTGTGTGTGTGTGTGTGTGTGTGTGTGTGTGTTGAGATTAGCAGGCGTGCTCTCTATATCCACAGTAATGACATCACAGCGGGATAAATTTAATACCAGAAATCTGAGCATAGACATGAAGGTCACTCTGTTATTGCTTCTTCACTCTCTGTCTGTCACACACACACACACACAGATTCACACACTATATTCTCTCTGGAGTAGTAAACGCATCCAGAAAACCAGCATCTCAGCCGAGCTACAGTCAGAAACATCTGCAAGCCATCACAACCCCCAAAACACCTTCGCTCTCCTTTTTCCTTCCGTCTGGTTTGGTAAAAATCAAATTTGGTGTGGTGTTTGTGGTGGCGTGATGGAGCACGGCTCAGGACACAATCAGAGAGGTGTGTGACTGTGTGTGGGAGAGAGGCCTGCAAGGTGTTATGACTCAGCTCACGGTGACTTGATTAGATTATGAATCGTGACAGTGTGTACATGCATGTCAGTGTGTAAGCAATGTGTAGGCAAAGAAGAAGGGAGGCAGGGGTTCTGCTCTGTAGTATTAAAGAATATGCAAATATATTTATTTTGGTTTGAAAGACTTTTAAATGTGTATAACACTACGTAAGAGCCTGAAAAATGATTTATAAAATTTGTCAGCTACAAAAATGCCTCATATTGTAGCACTATGTAGTACTATGTGTATCTTTATAGTTACTGTCAGTTCATTATTTTGGTTTTGAGTCCTAACTTTACTGTTTCGGTTCAGTCTCACAACTGTAATTATGTCTTTTTTGGCAAACAGGCAGATGGAAAGCTAGAAAAACACAGTAAACACTGTCTGCTACCTAGCACTAAATGGCTGACAGACAAACTAAGTGACTGGCTGATGAACATAGTGGAGCATTAAGCAGCTAAAAAGACAGATAATTTTCTCAGGAGGTGGTGGAGACCAAAAACAGAGCTAAAAATCAAGTGATTATTGGACTTACATTCATTTGGTGGCCAGAATCACGACCCAACAAGTTTGCCATATAAACTTAAAAGGTGGTCAGTGCTGTGTTCAGATTGTTTATCCAAGTTTCCAGTAAATCAGTTATCACCGGTTTAATTTGTTTGACTTGTTTCTAAGTAAAGCTCTTTAAACTTTTTTAGCTTTTACATCCAACTACATTGGCTCTGAACTCAGAAGCCTTGTTGCTTTTGAAATGATTAGATCCCAATTCAGAGACACACTAAAAGGAAATGACTCTCACATTATAACAAAAGAAACACTCTCTTTCATACGCTCTCTTCTACTTTTTACTCTGACTTTCCTTCTGACTGTCTTTCATTCTTGTTTCTCTCTGATTTCTCTTTTCCTTTGAATCTGGTCAGGCATATGTGCATATAGTACATACATTTGTGGCTTTTTTGTGATTTATGTCGACAAATAAGAACGTCATCAACTGAAAAGTTACTTCATCTACTATTGCTTTCCTGAGGGTTTGAGTTATCCATCTGTGATTTCTGCCATCATCTTAATACAATGGAGGCCAGTGTAGTTTCATTTGTGGTCCCATTTCTTCTGGACCAGCTTCAAAAGATTTTACTGGAACTACTTTCTAACAAAGAAATAGTTTCTATAGAAACTGGACAGCGAGGTCAACAGTTCTCACTCATAGCTCACTCAGTGATCTCTCATCCTCCATGTCTCTCTCTACCTTTCCAGACCTTCAACGAGTTTGAGATCGAGCAGCATCAGGAGTGTGCATATGACCATCTGGAGGCCTTTGATGGGGACAGTGACACGGCAGCCATCTTGGGTCGATTGTGTGGCAGTAAGATCCCGGAGCAGCTGGTTTCTACAGGCAACAAGATGTACCTCCGCTTCATTTCTGATGCCTCAGTACAAAGGAAGGGCTTCCAAGCTACACACTCCACAGGTGTGTGTGTCTGTGTGGAAGCATATTTAAGTGTTAATGTATGTTAGCAATAATATTTAACTTTATGTGTGTGAGCTTTTGTGTTCGCAAAGAGCATCACTCACAGTCACCAGCTGAGATTTAAGTTTGAATAGTTTTTTTAGAGCAACATCTCCCTCTAGTGGTTCACAGCAGCACATACATGATGAAAATCATTCACTAAATCTGACTTGAGTTTACGGACTGTCTGGGACAAATGGTTTATTTCACTCTTTCTAACCTTGTGTCTCTGCAGAGTGTGGAGGCCGTCTGAAAGCAGAAGCTCGTCAGAAGAACCTCTACTCTCATTCCCAGTTTGGAGACAATAATTACCCAGGTCACACTGACTGCGAGTGGCTGCTGACAGCCGAACAGGGCTACGGCATCGAACTGAGCTTCATTACTTTTGAGGTAGAGGAGGAAGCCGACTGTGGTTATGACTACATCGAGTTGTACAATGGGTACGACGCCAACTCACATCGACTTGGCCGCTTCTGCGGTTCAGGGGTAAGGCTTTATGTTCTCATCTGAGATCCATTTTTTATCTTTGATGTGAAAACCTTTAAAGAACTACATCAATGTATATTTCCTGACCCTCAGGACAAGTCTGATGATATTGTTTTAATGTTAACAAGTCTCGTGAAAAGATCAAAACTAACAATTTCACTAATAAGAATAGTTTGTGCAACCACACTGTTGCACTGGGTGACAAGTTCCTTCATTACAATGATCATCTGTAGTACAGTTTAAGGAGGTTATGGGGAAAAACCACAAAACAGGAGAGTGCAGGGAAAAAGCACTGAAATAAGGTAGAAACTCTGTAACATTACTCCGTTACAATTAACAGTTCTGCACTGAAAATGTTAGTTAAGTAAAAATAAAAGTACAATAAATGGCCCCTGTGAGTGATACTCAATAAAGTACCTCAAATCTGTACTTAAATCGGTACTTGAGTTATTGCACCTAGTTATATTCCACCAATTAGAACGACAAAGCTCAAACATGTTTCAAGTTTTAGCTTCAGAATGAGTGGAAGGGAAAAAGAACGTACACCAACGCTGTATTTGATTATAGTTAATGGATTAAATGAGTGATATGAACCTCTAAATGTCTGAGAAACTGCTTCACGTGTTCCCTCCATCTTCCCATCCTCAGCCCAGGGAGGGGATCTACTCGCCCGGAGCCGCTATGCTCATCCGTTTCCATAGCGACGACACAATCAGCAAGAAGGGCTTCCACATCCTCTACACGAGCACCAAGTTCCAGGAGAGCCTTCACACCAGGAAATGACCTCACACGCAGCCCGCAACCTCCGACCTCTGTGCAGCCTGTTACCCTGACCTTCACCATGGCAATGAGAAAAAGTACAGCCTGTCCCCTCTTCTTGGACCCACAGACAGATGTGGACACTCGCCAGCCCCCCGGGAGGAAGATGACACTTAAGTGAACATTTGTCTCCTTCTGTGGCTCTGCACAGGTCAACACACTCTGAGACGAGACGGGGGGAAAAACAACGAGATATCGATGTGAGCTTCTACAAACACGGGGGGGAAACACGCTGACGATTTGAGTGAGCCATTTTTTGTGTGGAGGAGATGGTCTTCATTACTGGACATCAAGCTACCCTCAGTGTGGGCAGAGGGGTTGCTGAGGATCCATATCAGTTTACTGAGATACTCATGGTTGCACAAATGCAAACAAACGAGTACAAACACACATAAACGCAGTAGATTCATATTCAGAATTATAAACTATGGATGCTTGAGGAACTGAGGAGCTTCCACCTAAAAGAAAATGCATCCAACGAGGGAGTTTTGACTCTTTTTCTGACTCCTTGAGCTGTGCAACTTACTGTGATCAGACGGCTGCTTGTATCCACAGTAACTGAGAGGAAACTCTAAATAGACATTTTTATTGCCTTTGATGCCTGGGAACTGGTCTCTTCAACCCAGCTCAGAACGGCTGCAGATGATTTTATTTCATGTCTTATTGTAAAACCCATTGTGTTTACTGTACGTGTGTCTGTGTGTACAGAGAAAAGAACAAAAAAACAAAAGGCTGAAATCCGTCATTTGCCCTTTTGCTTAAAGCTTATGCAGACGACCATCGTGGAATGGAAAAAAAAAATAAAAACGCAAATGGAGAATTTCCAAATGATCTGTGATGTTAATGTTAAGCCTTGCATTGTGTTGTGTGTGTCCATGCTGTTTTTTTTTTTTTTTTGCACCACCTTGTAACAAACCAAGCAACTTTCACGGATGTTTCCAGTTTCCACCTCACCCCTCAACCCCCCAATTAACAGTGGATATCGGAAGGGAATATTTTCACAGCTGTCTCTCGGAGTGACACGATTCTGATTGAAGGAGAGATTCCCATGGTGCTAAAAATAAAAATACACTGAATGACAGATGACTGCGGATGGAAATAAAGGTTTTTCAATAGGAGACAGTCAGTGTGCAAACAGCACGCTGCATCAACAGCACTAGTCCTGTGGAACTACAATATTGCCTTAGAACCAAAATGTATGCTATCGGAGGTCGCTCCTATGCTCTTACACAGGTGTCTTGTGTCAGCGGAGTGTTTTCAAGGTTTTTTGGCAGCGTATTTCATTTGTTTGGATATCTTGAATGGTTTTATTGTAAAAAAAACAAACAAACATGGGAAATGTAGTCTGTGTGTGAGATAGAGTGTCAATGGTGCATGTGTGTTTGTGTGTCATTTTTGTAGCAGCTCTCAGAGATACATACACACACTTACACGTCCACAAATACACAAAAACACACCTCATTTGTGTGCATTTTCCCAAACATATCTGAACACACACTTCCCTTCTGTAATATTTGGAGCGTGGAGAGCAAAGTGCTGTAAAGTTGAAGGAATATCAATGTGCACACATGCTGCATCATTTCTGTGTTCAATGCAAATGTGTAAGTGTGTGTTTTAGGAGATTATAGAGAAATAATGTACGTGTGTGTCTGTAAACTGTATGTTTTTAAGTTGAATCATTCATTGCTGTACGTGCCAAGCTCCAGGTGACCCTGATCCACTGTAGTTTTTGTTTTATCATTCCACCTCTGTGTCTGTAGTTCAGAGACACTGACATGACATCCTCTGTATCAGTCATTAAAATACACACAGGTAAAAAACTACACGCATCTGTGTTTCATGGATCATTGCAGTGTTTTGTGAATGAATTTATTATTATTATTCTATTTTTTTTTTTACTTGTTTGGATGAGACAAGTACTGTGCTGAGTGCCAAGTATTGCTCCATCAATCAAATCCTGGAATTTTCCCTTTGTGATAATTATATTCAAGTGTTTTCTTTCACAAGATTATTATATTCTGAAAGGAAATTTGATGCTATTTAATGATCTGTTGTAATTTATTACTCAGTTTCCCAGTCATAGTCCATTGCAAAGGTGTAGTAAAAGAAGTCATCCTAAACAAAACCTTAAAGACAATTTGAGTGTTTTTGTTACACTAACTTTTATTTCCAGTTTGCAGTTGTTCACTTTAAAGCTCCTACATCTGTATATATGATTCTATTTCACTCATGTTATGTGTTTATCTAGAAGTCTGGAGTGTGCAACAGTAAATATAGCCTTTTTCAGTGTTAAATTATATTGAAAATTGATATGCATGTTTGCTTTCTTGCCGAGAGTTTGACGAGAAGATCAATTCCAAATATGAAACTACAGCTAGTAGCCGGTTAGTTTAGCTTTAGAGGTGATGGTAGGTGATTCATTTTCTGTCATCATTTCAGCTCTAAAATGATTACTTTCTAGGAACAATAGCTCCCAGTTACTCTGGATAATGCACAGACTGGAGTTCATTAAAAACTATTTACAATTATTTTCTTTAATAATTAAGCATACGGTCTATTTACTCCTCACAAGTTCCCAAAACCTATGGCGATGCATTAAAATGTCTTGTTTCGTCTGACCAATTTGCTAGACGACTAAAGAAAAGCTGAAAATATTCACATTTGAGCTGAAACAAGTAATTTTGTTGCCATATTTGATTAAAAATGACTTTAAAGATTAATCAATTATCAAAATAGTTAGCATAAAGACTGGAAACGTGAGGAAACAGCTAGCCTGACTACAAAGTTTTTACACAAAGGTGATTTTTGTACAGATTAAACAAACAAAATGTAGCCTAATCTGTTAATTAATGAGCTTTAGAGGTGATTGTAGGTGATTTTGTGACGTGGAAATTATAGTCTTCCTTATTTAATTCATTTAATTTAATTTACATAGCACCAGATTACAACATACGTAATCTCAGGACACTATTCACATAGAGAGGTCTAGACCGTACTCTCTCCCACCATTAGCAAGCACTTGGCGACAGTGGCAAGAAAATAACCATTGTGTTAATTATAGTCTTTCAATCATATTCTATCTCACAATTGATATATTTTCATCTTTTAACATTATGCTGCAACTCTATAAAAGCTAAAACATATGTAAGCAGTGTGCCAGATAGAAATTAAATAGTGTCCAACCCAAAGAGCAACAACAGGAGGTCTGATTACGCAGCCGATTACCTCTGACCCCACACATGACTCCTGCAGACACAGAACAGCTGATCAATTAGGTCTGTTCTTGTAGGTTCTTTTTTTAAATGTGTTATTTATAATTAAACACTAGAAGTGTTTTGATTTACCCTGGTGGCCCTTCCAAGCTGTACCATACTGTATGTAGGCAGTGCCATTGGTTCATTATGATACAACCAGTGAGGCACAACAAGATTTATAATTATAAATGAAATAATAGAGAGATGTATAGAAAAAAAGTATCTCTGTATATTTTAGGCTAGGAGCAACAGCAGTGTTCCTTTACATAAATAAACATCTACTTTTGACTTTTGACCCATTTTACACATAACAGCTTGGTGGTGTCTTGAGGATAAGCCACTTACCTTTATAGGATCAGTTAGATGAGCTTCAGTTGTCACACATTTGGTGCAACAGACCTCCAGCTGTTTGCTGCCACTGTTATACAACCAGTTAACTACTAGAGGGCGCTCAGTCTGAGCTTTTCAATGGTCAGTGCTCTGAAACAGTGCTCTGAAAGTGTTTTTAGTGCTATCACTTAAAATTAATGGTTGCTGACTTTTCATGATAGCATTGGTTAGGGTTATATGAATGTGGACCATTAATCAACACATGTAAAACTAATTAATACCTGTTAGAAGGTGAAACAATACCTTTAAATTGAACATTTATTATGAGAGCAAAGCTCCTTAGTGTTCATGTTGTATATTTATGTTGGATTAACACCATATATTGTCGAACTGGGTCAGGTTGACATTTACAGCCTGTAGTGTCATAATGGGTCTCACGCAAGAAGTGAAGTACAAATGAACAAACAAACGTAAGGAAATATAGGTATTGAATTCAAGGAACATAAAAAAAGGCATGAATATCATATAATAAGATGACATTATATGTTTTAGAGTAATTATCTATCTATCTTTAAGAGAATGTGGCTGTATGAGGCCCATTGTTTGTCTGACCAGTGTGTTAGATCTGCTTCAGTGTTTAACTTTGGCTCCATCTATAGTCCATCCACAGAACTGCAATCAGACTGTGACCATTATGGTATGTTTAGGCCGAGCTAAGGACACACAAATTAAAAAAAAAAATCACATTTTCTCACTTACCTTTAATGGTCTAATATACCTTTGCGTATAGCTTTGGTTTCATTTCCTGAAGTTTCGAGAACAACCCCACTGAGACTTCTACCCCTCAATTATATCAAGTTGAAAAGAGTTTAGTTTGTGCTGCTCAAAGCATAAAAAAAATATGTGAACAACTTATTCTTATTCATGCATACAGGAGCAGGGACAATGTAGAATTTATAAAAAACAAATTCTGTGTTTATTCAAAGCCTTTAAAACAAGGTTTGAACTGGTCTATTTTTAAAATGACTCATGAACAAGCCATGTAACCTATAAAGGTTTTTAATTATAAATTCCACTTTGGTCCTGCTCCTAAAAAAGTGAGAGACTAAAGTTCTTTGTCTTGAGATTACAACTTTTCATCTTTAAGTAAACAAAGTCTCTGCAGCCTAAGAATTATCCATTGAACACACAAGTATTTTTCTGGAAAAATGATTTAGAGCTACAACTAACAATTATTCTAGTTATGGATTAATCTGCTGGTTATTTTCATAGTTTTGGTTCAGAAACTGTTGGAGAATAGTGAAAATGTCAGTCTCAATTTCCCTGAGCCCAAGGTTGCATATTCAAATATTCTTCGTCAGTTCAAAAAACATAATGCAGTTTACTTACATATAAGAAATTTTTGCCTGAAAAATTAATCAAAACTATTAACTGATTATCAAAATAGTTGCTGATTAATTTTATGTCATCATTTCAGCTCTAAAATGATTACTTTCTAGGAACAACATCCCGGTTACTCTGGATAATGCACAGACTGGAGTTCATTAAAAACTATTTACAATTATTTTCTTTAATAATTAAGCATACGGTCTGTTTACTCCTCACAAGTTCCCAAAGCCTATGGTGATGCATTAAAATGTCTTGTTTTGTCTGACCAATTTGCTAGACGACTAAAGAAAAGCTGAAAATATTCACATTTGAGCTGAAACAAGTAATTTTGTTGCCATCAATTATCAAAATAGTTGTTAATTAATTAATTCATTCATTAATTAACTCTGGAAAATCTGACTTTTCCTCAGGAACTATTATCTACTGAAAATATAAAATGATACCTGGATGAACTGACCAGTCTTGGTGGTTCCACCGTCTACTCATTCTGCCTACATTTCCCACAATGCACCATGTCTACACTGTTTTGAGGAGCAGAGAATTGAAAACCACAAATAAAAGACAAAGAAAAAGCTCAGAATTCCCAACATAATCCAACATTTCCTCATTAAAACCACGCTTGAGGTTGAGCTCAAGGACCCTGTTGATCAATTCCTCCTAATAAACTGATGAAGAATTAATTCTTGATATTCCTTCAAAAGTAGTTGACAAAACAATCCCGCTACAAAATCTACAATTTAAAGACAACTGGCAGACGATCATGTGATATGACTGAAAGCTCCAGAACAATTACAAATAGACGTTGTGATAAGATTGTTCTGTCAACTGTGCTTCCCATGGCCCAGAATTAATATTCCACTTTTAAGCTATCATGGACAACAAACAACCTTAAATGAAAATAGAAAACATTTACAAACTCCACCTGCTGAAGACGATCGTGCGATATGAGTTGAAAGCTCTAAATCGGATACTAAACGAACCTTGTGTTGAGATTGTTTCGTCTATTATCTGCGATGTTCTGGCTTGTGCTTGCGAAGGGTGAGGTGCAGCTCATTTTGTCCGAAACATACTTTTTTGGTCACATAGCATCTTTAATACCACCATTATAATAATTAGGATATCAAAAGTATCGAGTATACATACATCATTTGCATTGCGGTACACAAATCTGAGCAGATTTATGTTTTTATATCTTTCATTCGTTGTTCTCAGGATCAACTTTTATTGTCTCGACATTGTGCTGATACATTGAATCGTCCTGAAGAACTTGACGCTATTTCAGGAAGGAGAACATTTAATTGGACATGTATTGTTAAGTAATATAAAAAAGTTTTTGATATTTCCAAATGTAACTTGAATCCTATAGTCTACTACTTTCCAATACCAATAGTCAAGAATCTTGATATAAGCCAAACTAGAGTCCATGTCACCAAAATCAAAGTACTTCAGGTAGGTTTCTTCACCTACAGTGGTCTTGATATTCTGTAGTTTTCTTCTCTTTTTTGCTGTAAAGTTCTTGAAGCTGTGGGAACAGTCTCTTGAAGCCATGCCTGTTTTTGTAACAGTCCCAGTAAATGGATTCTCAGGAGTCTGAAGATGTGTTGTGTTGTGTTTATGTGTATGCGTGTGTGTTGGTTGAGGACGGCGAGGGTCAAAATGGTGAAACACCTCGCTTTCCTCTGTCCTCCACCACCTTCACGGTCTCAGTCTGTGCTGCCTGTCAGACGCTGGTGATGGAGGCCAGGCAGTTCGATGACTTCTGGAGTTTCTCAGGCTGTGTGGTGGGGGGCTCTGGGATGGCGCGAAAGCTGAATGGCAGTCCGATACTACTGGTGCCGATGTGGCCGGGG